TACAGCAAGTGACTGGTTGCATAGTGTTATGTACTAAAGTTCTCACCCTGGGACAGCAGGGGGATACTGTAGATAGTTTCCACATATGCAAATAAGGAATTGAAAGTGACATTCAGTGATTGGATAGTTTCAGAAAGTTGTTACTGTTGCGTTGTAGTGGAGCTCTATATAAGCAGGCTAGTTGAACCCTTCAGTTCTGTCCTGTCCTGGGTCTGTGAATAAACAAGAGCTGTCTGAAGAATCGCTGTGTTATCTGATATGTTCATCCACAACTTAACACATAGGCTCTGGTTCAGCTAGCCCCCTGCACCCTTGCAGGTAGCGCTGACCCAGGGCACCAGCCTAGGTCAGCCTAGGGTGAACACCTGGATAAGCGGAAAGCCGGGAGCAGGCTATCTCCGCCACCCAAATGCCCCCCTGGACTCAGGCATGGGCACAACCCCATCACAGGGTTGTCCAAACCGTCGAGTCCCTGGATTCCTTGAACGGAATACCCTTCACATAGGGATGGCGAGAGCGTTCTCCCATCCCTATCACCTGAACCAGAGCCTATCTGCAACCTTACAAGTTGTGACGATTTGCTACGCGTCAGGCGAAACCCAAATGGCAACAGCCAATCAGCCAAGTAGGGAAAATTCCTGCCGTGCCCCTGTCCCAAGGACAGACGACACACGACGGCGTAGCAAGGTCACGCGCACAAGCCCTAAATATAGGGAATGGTGGGTGGGTGTTCTGATGCATGCACCGAAAGAGGAAGCTCTGGGTCACGTGCATGGGTACCTCAGGTTAAGTACTTAATTCGTTCTGGAGGTCCGTTCTTAACCTGAAACTGTTCTTAACCTGAGGTACCACTTTAGCTAATGGGACCTCCAGAGCATGATTTCTGTTCTTATCCTGAAGCAAAGTTCTTAACCTGAAGCACTCTTTCTGGGTTAGCGGTGTCTGTAACCTGAAGCATATGTAACCTGAAGCGTATGTAACCTGAGGTACCACCGTAAATAGGTCCCTTGATCCATTTAGCCTGCATCCCATTGGCTTGATTGAACCCTCCATCAAGGGACCTACCAATCGGGTATTGTGGCTATCCAAACGTACCCACCCACAACACAGAGTTAGGTTGCCAGGTCCCTCTTTAAGGGAGGACCCGATTTCTCGGCGTCTTCTCCTCTTTCTACCGCTGGGCAAAGCAGCATCATTGCAGCCGTAGCAGCGGACATAAATAGTTTTCTCAAATCTTTCGGTATATCTGCACCTAGAAATCCTAAGAGAAAGGCTTCTGGTCTTTTAACAAATGTTATTTTGAACATTTGCTTTAATTCGTTATATATCATTTCCCATAATTCCTTTATCTTTTTACAATTTTACAATTTTTGCAGTTCCAACATACATTCGAATTAGTGCTACACATTATCGCTAACCTACTGGGTGTTAAGTACCAACAGCACATCACCTTTATGTAATTTTCTTCCAGCGTGTAGCACGCTGTAAATTTCAAATCATTCTTATGCTGCCAACTGTATATTATATCCAAAATCTCTTGCCCGGTGAATCATTACGGACTTAACATCTTACCGGGTCTTCTGCGTGTAAAGTAGGGGTTCAGCCACGGAGTTACAGGCTCTCATTAAAAATAAAGTAAGATTCTGCCACTCAGATAAAGAGCAAATTTAAACTGGAGCAAAATAAACTGCCTTATGCTGAGTCTGACCCTTGGGCCATCTAGCTTTGAGGTTGAATCCTGACAAGACAGAAATACTGTTTTGGGGGGACAGGAGGCAGACGGGTGTGGAGGACTCCCTGGTCCTGAATGGGGTAACTGTGCCCCTGAAGGACCAGGTGCGCAGCCTGGGAGTCATTTTGGACTCACAGCTGTCCATGGAGGTGCAGGTCAATTCTGTGTCCAGGGCAGCTGTTTATCAGCTCCATCTGGTACACAGGCTGAGACCCTACCTGTCCGCAGACTCTCTTTCTAGAGTGGTGCATGCTCTGGTTATCTCCCGCTGGGACTACTGCAATGCGCTCTACGTGGGGCTACCTTTGAAGGTGACCCGGAAACTACAACTAATCCAGAATGCGGTGGCTAGACTGGTGACTGGGAGTGGCCGCCGGGACCACATAACACCGGTTCTGAGAGATCTGCATTGGCTCCCAGTACGTTTCTGAGCACAATTCAAAGTGTTGGTGCTGACCTTTAAAGCCCTAAACGGCCTCGGTCCAGTATACCTGAAGGAGCGTCTCCACCCTCATCATTCTACCCAGACACTGAGGTCAAGCATCGAGGGCCTTCTGGTGATTCCCTCGGTGTGAGATGCCAAGTTACAGGGAACCAGGCAGAGGGCCTTCTCGGTAGTGGCACCCACCCTGTGAAATGCCCTCCCACCAGATGTCAAAGAGAAAAACAACTACCAGACTTTTAGAAGACATCTGAAGGCAGCCCTGTTTAGGGAAGCTTTTAATGTTTGATTGATTACTGCATTTTAATATTTTGTTGGATGCCCCCCAGAGTAGCTGGGGAAACCCAGCCAGATGGGCGGGGTATAAATAATAAATTATTATTATTATTATTATTATTATTATTATTATTATTATTATTAAATAATAAAATTATCATAGCTCAGTATTGTCCACACTGACTTGCAGTGGCTCTGCAGGGCTTCTGGCAGGGAGTCTCTCCCAGCCCTACCTAGAGTTGCTGCCAGCAATTGAACCTGCAACCTTATTCCACATTTGTCAGAACTCAAGCTTTTAGGGTGCTTTGGAACGTCCTGCCTGTTGATATTGTGCAGGAATCTTCACTGAACAGTGGTACCTTGGTTCTCAAACGCCTTGGTTCCCAAACGCTGAAAACTCAGAAGCAAGTGTTTCAGTTTTCGAATGTTTTTCAGGAGCCAAACGTCTGACGCAGCTGTAGGCTATTGTTTCTGGAGTGCCTGCACCACTCAGAAGCTTTGCCTTGGTTTTTGAACATTTCGGAAGTCAAACGGACTTCCAGAAAGGATTAAGTGTGGCGCTTTTGTTTTTGCTGTTTATTTTGTGTTTTTGTTTTTGAGGCTTTTCCGGTTCATTTGTTTTTGTGGTTGTGTGGAACCCAGTTCAGCTACTGATTGATTGATGGAGTGACTGCGGAAATGGATAAAAGCCCCCCATCCAAACAATGACTATCATCAGTGCAGGTAAGGGGGGGGGGAATAATTTTAACTTTTTATCATCTACAATACTGTCTTATTTTAAAGTACAGTACATTGATTATTGCTTTCATTTTATGGATCGATGGTCTAGTTAGATAGTAAAATTCATGTTAAATGGCTGTTTTGGGGGTTGTTTTTAAAAGTCTGGAATGGATTAATCCGTTTTTGCATTACTTTCTAATGGGAAAGCGTGCTTTGGTTTTGGAACGGACTTCAGGAACGGATTAAGTTTGAGAACCAAGGTACCACTGTACAGTCATACCTCGGGTTGAAGTAGCTTGGGGATAAGTATTTTTGGGTTGCGCGCTGCAGCGACCCGGAAGTAACGGAGTGTGTTACTTCCGGGTTTCACCGCTCGCGCATGCACAGACGGTCAAAATGACGTCACGAGTATGCGCAGAAGCGGCGAATCGCGACCCATGCATGCGCAGACGAGCAATCGTGTCTTATGTTCGCTTCAGGATGCGAACGGGGCTCCGGAACGGATCCCATTCACATCCAGAGGTACCACTGTATCTGAGAATGGCCATTTCTCATCTGCCATAACCCCTGCCCCACCAAGGCATCCTCCTCCTTGCCTGGGCAGTTATGCAAGGGCAATGCTAGGGACAGGTCCAAACCATACATTTAAAGTGCATTCTGCACACATTTTAAAGGTAAAGGACCCCTAGGCGGTGAAGTCCAGAAAGGCTACTATGAGGTTGCGCACTCATCTTGCTTTCAGGCTGAGGGAGCTGGCGTTTGTCTGCAGACAGCTTTCCGGGTCATGTGGTCAGCAGGACTCAACCACTTCTGGCACAATGCGACACCGTGACGGAAACCAGAGTGCACGGAAATGCTGTTTACCTTCCTGCCACAGCTGTACCTATTTATCTACTTGCACTGGTGTGCTTTCGAACTGCTAGGTTGGCAGGAGCCGGTACGGAGCAACAGGAACTCACTCTGTTGCGGGGATTTGAACCGCTGACCTTCTGATCGGCAAGCTCAAGAGGATCAGTGGTTTAGACCACAGCACCACCCACCCTGATGGACCACCCTCTGCCTCAGTGACTGTCAGACATTTTCCCAGCTGAAGGGAAGGACAAGATGTGCCTGTCCCCCCCCCCCCATTCCCCACTCCTTGTGCAGAAGGCTTTGGGACTTTGGGCTTTCAAATTCCAGCACCATCCTGTAATACACCCAACTTCGGCCCCCTCCTCGCCTCTTGTGTTCCTCTCTAAGTCATTGTTGCGGCACCCAATGTCAGCAAAGCAGTTGTGCGCCCCTAAACCCGTCTCTGCTGAAGGTGACTGGGATGGAAGCTAAATCGTTCTTCCAAAGCACCACAGGGGGGCTTGAGACTAACTCCGGAAATTGCAGGAAAGCTCTGTGATCCAGTGTGTCACCCCCAGAATTTGCTGCCTGAAGCAGCTTGCCTTGCTGTTATGTACTGAGTTGAATAGGGTCCAAAATGCAGCAGTCTGATTGGTCCTAGAACAATGGGATTCAGAATGCAGCAGCCTGATTGGTCCACAGGCACTACCCAATTCAGCTCCAGGTGGAAGTGAATCCACAACCTGATTGGCCTACAGGAGAATCCCAGAATTAGCCAATCACGTGGGGCCCATTGTGTAAATAATGTCTATAAAGCAGACATTCTGGGGGAACTTCCATTCCTCCTCACCACTATGAGCTGAATAAAGAGCATGAAATCCACTCTCAGCTCCAAGTATATTTCACTTGCCTAACAGTAGGGCTGGCCCAGAGAAGCAACAAAGGTGTGTGAGAGAGAGAAAGAGATGGTAGGCAGGCGAGTGCATCTTTAAATTTTTATTCTGAAGAATCCAGCAAGGAAGGGATTCGGCTGCAGTTGCTGCTGCTTGACATTAATGGCTGGAAATGGTCTGCAAGGGGAAAAAAGAGAGTTGCAGTGTTAGGAAATGTGCCAGAGATCTTTGGGCAGATCCACGCCATAGGCTTAAAGCATGGGGCTTCCCCAGAAAGAACCCAGGGAACTACAGTTCCTGGCATCCTTAAACTATAGTTCCCAGGATTATTGGGGTGGGGAACCATGTGCTTTAAGAGCATGATGGCCGGCCACTGTGAGGACCAGATACAGGACTAAATTGGCCATTGGCTTATTAGGTAACCAAATCAATTACATAGCCAATTATAAATTTGGGGTGGCTACCCATGTGCTGTACTTCAGGGTCCGATTCCTTTTAATTCTGCCTCCACATTATTGCTCAAACTAAATACAACCCATTCTTGATAAAACCCCTTATTCCACAGCTACAATGATTAACTTCAATTCACAGCAACACATATAAAGGTAAAGGGACCCCTGACCATTAGGTCCAGTCGCGGACGACTCTGGGGTTGTGGCACTCATCTCGCTTTATTGGCTGAGGGAACCGGCGTACAGCTTCCGGGTCATGTGGCCAGCAGGACTAAGCCGCTTCTGGTGAACCAGAGCAGCGCACAGAAACGCCATTTACCTTCCCACTGGAGCGGTACCTATTTATCTACTTGCACTTTGACGTGCTTTCGAACTGCTAGGTTGGCAGGAGCAGGGACCGAGCAACGGGAGCTCACCCCGTCGCGGGGATTCGAACTGCTGAACTTCTGATCAGCCAGTCCTAGGCTCTGTGGTTTAACCCACAGCGCCACCCGCATCCCTTTTATCAACACATATAGTAATTTGTAAATTCGCAAATGAAGTTCTCGTTTCTTCTTCCTGTGTGAGGTTTTAATTTCCACCGATTATTCCTTTCTCAAATATGATGTCCATATTAATTATTCCTGATCTCCTTTGTTGACTCGGAGTTACTCTGGAGAGGTCTTTTTCTTTGTTCTCAACTCTTCTGATGTAAAATTCCACCTTTGATTTCAAACAGGGAGTCACCCAATGACCTGCCAAAGCCCTGGCAGACCTCCAAGTTCTCCCCTCTACCTCCAGTCGAAGCAATTAATTATAATTATTTGTAAAAGAACGATCTGGTGCCCCGCCAGATCCCTTGCATGCAGGACCTACCTCTTCAATCCAGTTGTTGAAAGCAGAGACACGGGTGAAGACGGTGGGCTTCTTCAAGGTGTTGCACCCCCAGGCAGAGACGAAACTCGTCACCCCGTGGACGTACCACCTCCCATCAGCAGCCCGACAGTTGAGGGGGCCTCCGGAGTCACCCTGAAATAATAGGCAAGGTTGAAAAGGATCTCAAAAGCTGTACCCCGTTCAAATGATGATATTAGATCCATGTTGTTAACTTCCCTGATAATTCCTTAAAATCTTTTAATTTATTACTGGAAGAATCCGCGATCAGAAAGAGGAGGAACATCAAGACGATTGGAAGAAATTTAAGGAATATTTAGCTAAATATTCTAATATAATATAATTGGAAATACTTGCAAGTACTAAATTGGTTTAGGATTAAAGTATGTTGAATGGTATAATACTATGGATTGAGAATATTATGAAAAGAAAGGAAGTTAGTAATTTGAATAAGTTAATTTTATTAGAAAGTGGATATTGGAAAATTGCTAAAATGAGATTTAATGAAAATCAGTTAGGAAGGATTCGAGGAAGTCACTTAACAATGAAAAGTAATTTGGATTTTTAATAGCAAGAAGTTTTATATGTTTGTTTGTTTTGTTTTTTAATATGTTTTGTTTGTGTTGTGTTATATTTGTTATAAATTTGGAAAATTAATAAAAAAATAGAAAAAATAAATAAAGCCTTTTAATTTATATTCTCCTCCCTCTTGTTTTAATAAATTTCTGTAAGTTGTCCACCCTTCTATCATATTCTTTTCCTTTACCGCTACAGCTTCCAACGGTGAGAGCCAAAGTGGTGCTTTTGCCTCGAATAAATTATTGCATTTATCCCATACTCCATACATTCCCCCCCCAATTATATGATTTGTAAATCCTTTATGAACTTTCGCCTTTTCATACCATAAATATGCATGCCAACCAAAAATATTGTCACGACCTTCCAAGTCTAGAATACATGAATTCTCTAATGTCATCCATTCCTTCAACCAGCAAAGACAGGCTGCCTCATAGTATAGTTTCATATCCCGCAGTGAAAAACCTCTTTCTTTTGCATCTATCAATATTTTATATTTTATTGTCAGTTGGGAAATGTTAAAATGATTGTAAAATTAGTGAAATGTATAAATCTGAAAGGCATAAATCGTTTTTAAATTATTTTTTTTTTAAAGAAAGCTGCTCCCCGGGCAGTAATTGGCGAGGTCTGTAGCTCTGCAGTAGGGTAGATCATTAGAACTTGTATACTATCTATTAAATTCATATACCACCCACGAGCTGAAGATTGCAAAATGAATAACGCCAAATGAATCAATCAGTCCCTGTAGAAACAAGTCTTGGGTGCAACTGCTGCCCCACAGGGGGTTGGACTAGATGACCCATGAGGGTCCCTTCCAACTCTACAATGCTAGAGTTCAAAAGTAAATCTGACCTTTATTGCTCCGCCCACCTTTGCCTCTGGCCACGCCCACCAATGGCACAGGGCACCCCCAGGAAGTTGCCCAGAAGGGAATGTGGCGCCCCCCCAGTTGACAAGGGGTTCCCTGCTCCTGGTTCAAAGTGCCGCAAGACCCTTTGCTGCGTTCTTGTGCAAAAGACTGGCTTTGCATCCTTACCGTACATTGCAAAGCACACAGCTCCCCCCTGCCGGAAAAGGATCCTGGGAACCGTAGTTTCCCCCTTGCGGTGCTGCAATTCCCAGCAGCCTTAACTACAGTTCCCTGCATTCTTTAGGGGAAATAACGTGCTGTTAAATAAATAGTATGCCCGTTTCCTAAAGGCAGTGCCTCCTCTGGAAATCCTTCCTTCCTCCCCCGCCCCAATTATATTTCATTAAGTTTCAACATTTTTAACACATGCACTCAAAACACAATTTCGTCTTTTATTTTTCTCAACTTCCCACCCCGTTCTCCACGGACTTGTTGTTTTACCCCTTCTGCTGCACCCTGTCTTCTATCTATCAAATCAGAACCACAATATTATAATCTAATTCCTTCTTAGGGACGCGGGTGGCGCTGTGGGTAAAACCTCAGCGCCTAGGACTTGCCGATTGCATGGTCGGCGGTTCGAATCCCCGCGGTGGGGTGCGCTCCCGTCGTTCAGTCCCAGCGCCTGCCAACCTAGCAGTTCGAAAGCACCCCCGGGTGCAAGTAGATAAATAGGGACCGCTTACCAGCGGGAAGGTAAACGGCGTTCCGTGTGCTGCGCTGGCTCGCCAGATGCAGCTTGTCACGCTGGCCACGTGAGCCGGAAGTGTCTGCGGACAGCGCTGGCTCCCGGCCTATAGAGTGAGATGAGCGCACAACCCTAGAGTCTGGCAAGACTGGCCCATACGGGCAGGGGTACCTTTACCTTAATTCCTTCTGTTGCTCGTAGCTCAAATCCTGCTCACGAGTTCATCGTACCATAATATTATAGTATAATATACTATATCAGGCGTGGCCAGCTCACAAGAGACTGTGATCTACTCCCACTATAAAAAGAACTGGCAGTGATCTACCCGTTGGATTGACCAAAGTTGTTGAGCTTTTTGTGGGGGGCCATCAGCAAAGTTGGGGGAGAAAGGCCCAGAGTTGTCGAGCTTTATTATTATTATTATTATTATTTATTTTATTTTTGGGCCAGTCGATCAGGATCACGCGATTGACCGGGATTGGCTAGGGACACCCCACGATCGCGATCAACCGGTTGGACATGCCTGTACTATATACTATAATGTTTCCTTAAAAGGTAAAGGGACCCCTGACCATTAGGTCCAGTCGTGACTGACCCTGGGGTTGCGGCACTCATCTCACTTTATTGGCCGAGGGAGCCAGCATACAGCTTCCGGGTCATGTGGCCAGCATGACTAAGCCGCTTCTGGCGAACCAGAGCAGCACACGGAAACGCCGTTTACCTTCCCACCGGAGCGGTACCTATTTATCTACTTGCACTTTGACTTGCTTTCGAACTGCTAGGTTGGCAGGAGCAGGGACCGAGCAACGGGAGCTCACCTCGTCGTGGGGATTCGAACCGCCGACCTTCTGATTGGCAAGTCCTAGGCTCTGTGGTTTAACCCACAGCGCCACCCGTGTCCCTTAATGTTTCCTTAAACAATCTGGAAAAGGCATCCTCCTATGGAGATCATTTCCCTCCTTGGGAACACTAGTGGCTCAGTGGCTGCTAACCAGAAGGCTGGTGGTTCGAGCCCCCCAGGGTCCCTTCCAACTCTACAGTACTATAGTTCTACGACCAGCCCTTTCTGCCTTCCACTCTCTTGCCCCCAGGATAGCTGGAGATGGGGCTCCATCACTCAGCATCCCCTGGGGCAACAGCACCGCTGGTCTCTTATTGGGTGCCAGCCCCTTCTTTGCGGTTTACTGACGTTGCAGCCGGACCGGATGTCTCCCCCGGCGCAGACCATCGTCTCCTTCACGGTGTAGCTCCACCAGTCCGGCTGGCTGCAGTGGGCGTAGTCCACCGATGGGAGCAGGGCTTGCTGAAGGATGGAGGGGAGTGGCCCGCCAGCTGGAAGAGAAGGGAAGGGGTTTTGGGAAATACAGTGGTACCTCGGGTTACAGACGCTTCAGGTTACAGATTCCGCTAACCCAGAAATAGTACCTCTGGTTAAGAACTTTGCTGCAGGATGAGAACAGAAATCGTGCTCCGGCGGTGCAGTGGCAGCAGGAGGCCCCTTTAGTTAAAGTGGTGCTTCAGATTAAGAAAAGTTTCAGGTTCCATTATGGAGGGGGTGACAAATTATCAAGGAACAATTACTGCCCTACTAGGGTGGTTCATAAAACACTTAAAAAAAAAAGCCTGCTCCAAAGGTCTTATCATACTACACTAGGGATTATATATCTATATATGAAATTTCATGCATATCGGTTAATATCTTGACCCTCCTCCACGAAAATAGCTGTTTACTTGCCTGTTTTCCTATGTTGGGAAGGCTGAAATTTAAATTCAGTGGAGCGCTTACTGTTCCCAACCCTAACCCAGCGGAAAGCCATCTAATTAGACTTTAATTTTATTTTGACATGTTTTTAGGAGGTAATTTAATAGTTGTTTGATTTTATACCAATGTTATGTATCTGATGTTAGCCGCCCTGAGCCCGACTTTGGCTGGGGAGGACGGTATATAAATAAAAGTTTGTTATTATTATTACTTATTATTATTCCTTTGTAAGAAAATATGAAATAATGTAAAACCATTTTTGCAGGCAAAAAATGAAATAAAAATCAATGTGGGGGGTGTGGCAAGAAATTTTCCACACCGGGGACCACCTGACCTTCCTATGCCTCTGCTCTCAGCCTAACCTACCTTGCAAGGTGGTTGTAGGAATAAAACAGGAAGTTGGAGTACCACATTTGCCCCCCTGGAGTTCCTCAGAGGTTCAAAAAAGGGGGGAGAGAAATGCAACAAGTAAATAAATAAGGTCACGTACTGTAGAGGCGCCCCCAGCCGCTGATGTAGCAGGGGGATCCATTGGGGAGCAGGTCTCCCGGGGGCGGGATGCACCCCAGCTGCACTTTGTCGTTAAGCTCTGCGCTGCGAGAAAGCTTCAGCAAGGCGATGTCATCCCTGAAAGAGGAGGAGGAGGTTTTGTGTTCAAAATGCAAAGGGAAGGAGGGTACTGTTTACCATATGTGGTGGCCATGTACACGGCTAAAGGCTTCCTGGGAAATGATATACTGTATTTTTTGCTCTATAAGACCTACTTTTCCCCTCCTTAAAAGTAAGGGGAAATGTGTGTGCGTCTTACGGAGCGAACGCAGGCTGCGCAGCTATCCCAGAAACCAGAACAGCAAGAGGGATCGCTGCTTTTGCTGCATAGCGATCCCTCTTGCTGTTCTGGCTTCTGAGATTCAGAGTATTTTTTTTCTTGTTTTCCTCCTCCAAAAACTAGGTGCGCCTTATGGTCTGGTGCATCTTATAGAGCGAAAAATACAGTATAATGAATTAAAGAAAACGATAAAATGATTTAAAAAGTACCTTCCTTCTCTTTGCATTCCCAACACAAATTTGAACTTGTTTTGTATATTTTAGCAATTTTAGGTAAAGGTAAAGGGACCCCTGACTGTTAGGTCCAATCACGGACGACTCTGGGGTTGCGGCGCTCATCTCTCTTTATTGGCCGAGGGAGCCGGCGTTTGTCCGCAGACAGTTTTTCCAGGTCATGTGGCCAGCATGACGAACCAGAGCAGTGCACGGAAATGCCGTTTACCTTCCTGCCAGAGCGGTACCTATTTATCTACTTGCACTTTGACATGCTTTCGAACTGCTAGGCTGGCAGGAGCAGGGACCGAGCAACGGGAGCTCACCCCGTCGCGGGGATTCGAACCACCGACCTTCTGATCGGTAAGCACTTGGCGCCACGGCGCCACCCGTAAAAATTAGCAATTTTACTTGGTGTTAAATACCAACAGTGTATCATTTTCATATAAGAAAAAAGATAAGCAGTTCTCCTTCCGCTTACCCACAAGCCACGCAGTTGCCGTTCCAGCCAGGGTGCACATAGATGTCCTCTGAGTTCACCAGGATGTGCTGCTCTGGGCCTTCCTCTTTGCTCCGGTCGTACTCACCCAGAACCACCTTGTATTTGCGGGATGGTCTGAGAAGAGAGAGGTGCGTTAAAAACCCTCTGGCTTTTGTGTGGCTGGAATGTAAGTTCACTGTAGGAACTCCCTGCCTATTGAAGATCAAGCCGGCGCTTTTGCCATACTCTTTTCAGCGCTTGCCAAAAACACTCTGGTTTAGACAAGCCCTTTTGGAAAGTCAGTGCGAATCTTAATCTGATTTTAAGTCTATTTTTTAAAAACCTTTCTGACGTTTTAAAATTATTTCTGCTCTTTTTTGTAAAATGTTACCGTTTTATCTACTTTGTAAGCCATTGTGAGGCATTTTATACAATCAAATTTTATGAAGTACAGTGGGACCTTGGCTCTCAAACTTAATTCGTTCCGGAAGTCAGTTCCAAAACCAAAGCGTTCCCAAGCCAAGACACGCTTTCCCATAGAAAATAATGCAAAATGGATTAATTTGTTCTGGATTTTTATAAACAACCCCCAAAACAGTCAATTAACATGATATTTACTATCTAACGAGAACTCTGATCCATAAAATGAAAGCAATAATCAATGTAAAAAGGTAAAGGGACCCCAGTCACGGACGACTCTGGGGTTGCGGCGCTCATCTCGCTTTACTGGCCGAGGGAGCCGGGGTTTGTCTGCAGACAGCAGTGGCCAGCATGTGGCCAGCATGACTAAGCCACTTCTGGCGAACCAGAGCAGCGCACGGAAACGCTGTTTACCTTCCCACCGGAGCGGTACCTATTTATCTACTTGCACTTTGAGGTGCTTTCGAACTGCTAGGTGGGCAGGAGCTGGGACTGAGCAACGGGAGCTCACCCTCTCGTGGGGATTTGAACCGCCGACCTTCTAATCGGCAAGCCCTAGGCTCTGTGGTTTAGACCACAGCGCCACTCGCATCCCATAATAATAATAATAATCAATGGACCCTACTATAAATAAACAAGACAGCATTGTAGATGATTAAAATTAAAGTTACAAAACAAAAGTGCCAGTCCGTTTGACTTCCAAAATGTTTGAAAACCAAGGTGCAGCTTCTGATTGGTGCAGGTGCCCCGGAAACAATAGCCAACAATTGGACGTTTGGCTTCTGAAATACATTTGAAAACCGGAACACTTACTTCCGGGTTTTCGGCGTTTGGGAACCAAGGCGTTTGAGAACCAAGACATTTGAATACCAAGGTGTTTGAGAACCAAGACATTTGAATACCAAGGTGTTTGAGAACCAAGGTACCACTGTAAACAGCATAGCTTACTTGGTTAGAGCATGGCGCTGATAACACCAAGTGCACAGGTCTAGGACAGCTGCACATTCCTGCATTGCAGGGGGATGGACTCGATGATCTTCAGGGTCCCTTCCAACTCTACAATCCAAATTTTAAAGAAATATACCTGCTCCTTCCCCCGCTTTCCCTTCTGACGCTGCCCCCCGCTGCCGTGCGACTCTCGAGTGATTGCCCGTGTGGTCTCAAGGTACCAAGGTATGCGTCAAATCCATTACCCTGCCCACTAGGCCCTCCTAGCAGTCCATGTGGCCCTTCATTGATTGACCACATAGCCCCCGGGTTCCTACCCCCGTTTCATGGGTGTGCTCAGTGCTTGGCTCCGGCACGCCTTGAGAGAGACCGCACTTACGAGATGCAATGTCCGGCCGTCATGACCCAGTTGGCATCGATGAGTGTCCCTCCGCAGGTGTGGTGGAATTGTCCTCCGCTTTCATATTGCAGGGAAACCTGTAGAAGAGGGGTAGATCAGGGGTCTGCAACCTTTAAGACAAAAAGAGCCACTTGGACCCGTTTCCGAAGGGGAAAAAAACCGGGAGCCGCAAAACCATTGCAACATTTAAAACAAATATATCTCCGGAGCCGCGATCTGACAGCGGGCGGGAAGGTGACGTCGGGACGGTGCGTGACTAACGCACGCACCGCCCCCATGCGACGTCACAGCCAGTACAGTGCCCGCCACAGTGGGGAGTATTGGGGGACAATGCTGCTCCTCCCTCGATATCTGAGCCAGGCTAGTGAGGTCTTTCTCGTAGATGATGGAGGAGGCTGAGATTCTGGCCAGGGCTAGGAGGTCTTCTCCTTTGCTCCCCGCCTGAAAGGACTTTCCTTTTTTTTTTTTAATAAATTTTTTATTAGATTTCCACAATGATAACACAAACCACAAAGCAAAATGATACACAAAAACAGAAAAGAAGAAGAAAAAAGGGAATAAAGATAAACAATAACAACAAACTTAATTCTTCACAAATCCAACCTTTTAAACATCTTGGTTGACTTCCTCAAATCCCTCCCTTCTGAGTTTCCTTGTAATTAAAGTAACAGCTTTCCAATATCATTACTAAACTAAAACAATTTCTAACTATAGTCCATCTTATGCACTTTTCTTAACATTCTAAATCCCATTTATTTAATTATAACTTAGTTTAATCCTAGGCCTATTTGTTTCTTTCAAGTAATTTCTAATTTTTTATATTACAATATTTATTCAAATAGTCCTTAAACTTCCTCCAGTCCTCTTGAAACTCCTCTTCTTTCTGGTCGCGGATTCTTCCAGTCAGGTCAGCTAGCTCCGAAAAGTCCATCATCTTCATCTGCCAGTCTTCCACTGTTGGTAGTTCTTGTGTTTTCCAATTTTTAGCAAGTAATATTCGGGCAGCCGTTGTGGCATACAAAAATAATTTAACATCTTTCTTGGGCAATTCCAAACCTGTTATTCCAAGAAGAAAGGCCTCTGGTTTCTTAATAAATGTATATTTCAATATTTTTTCCTGTAAGGACTTTCCTAGCCCTTTCCCGCTCCGTTCCTCAAGAACGGGGGCAGCTGTCCAGTTGCCGCTGAACTGCCGCCCCCAGCAGCCCCAGCCAGTGGCGTAGCAGGGTTACCAGTGCCCGGAACAGGGCAAGTGTTGTGCTTGGGTCGGGGCATGTGCCGGGGGGCACGTGCTGAGTCCACTTGGAGGCTGAACCGATTCTGCCTCCAACAGGGATGATGGGAGTTGTAGTTCAGCCATATCTGGTTAGCCAAAGGCTCCCCACACCTCCTCAAGAGGTCTGGGACGGTGGGCGATTCCAGACTGTTGCTGTGTGTGATAGCAGTTAAGAAGGCTGGATGAGGACTTCAGAGCCCCGGATTCAAATCTCCACTAGGCCATCTCAAAGGAGTCTCAAAGTGGCTAACATTCTCCTTTCCCTTCCTCCCCCACAACAAACACTCTGTGAGGTGAGTGGGGCTGAGAGACTTCAGAGAAGTGTGACCAAGTCACCCAGCAGCTGCATGTGGAGGAGCGGAGACGCGAACCCGGTTCACCAGATTACAGGTCTACCGCTCTTAACCACTACACCACACTGGCTCACTGGGGTGACCCTGGGCCAATCGCTTTCTCTCTCAGCCTGGCCTACATCACAGGATGGTTGTACGGATAACAATAGGAAGAAACTTCGAACTTTATGCGGATGTGACCACAGCTAAAATGAAAAGTCTCCTGACCCATTAGTTGTTCCTCGTAGGGGAGTTTCCCCAGTGCCCCCCCCCCGATTGCTCCAGTCAGCCTTCCGCTTTCCCAGGTCTAGAATAATAATAATAATAATTTATTATTTGTACCCCGCCCATCTGGCTGGGTTTCCCAGCCACTCTGGGCGGCTTCCACAAAGACCAAAAATACACTAATATATCATACATTAAAAACTTCCCTGAACAGGGCTGCCTTAAGATGTCTTCTGAATGTCAGGTAGTTGTTTATTTCTTTGACATCTGATGGGAGGGCGTTCCACAGGGCAGGCGCCACTACTGGGAAGGCCCTCTGCCTGGTTCCCTGTAGCTTTGCTTCTCACAATGAGGGAACCGCCAGAAGGCCCTTGGCGCTGGACCTCAGCGTCTGGGCAGAATGATGGAGGTGGAGACGCTCCTTCAGGTCTACTGGGCCGATGCCGTTTAGGGCTTTCAAGGTCAGCACCAACACTTTGAATTGTGCTCGGAAACGTACTGGGAGCCAATGTAGGTCTTTCAAGACCGGTGTTATGTGGTCTTGGCGGCCGCCCCCAGTCACCAGTCTAGCTGCCGCATTAGTTGTAGTTTCCGGGTCACCTTCAATGGTAGCCCCACATAGAGCGCATTGCAGTAGTCCAAGCGGGAGATAACCAGAGCATGCACCACTCTGGGCCAGACAGTCTGCGGACAGGTAGGGTCTCAGCCTGCGTACCAGATGGAGCTGGTAGACAGCCGACCTGGACACAGAATTGACCTGCGCCTCCATGGACAGCTGTGAGTCCAAAATGACTCCCAGGCTGCGCACCTCGAACACTAAGGTGCGATGACACCACTAGGCAATGCTCCCCCACCCCATGGAGGTACTCACTTGCCAGGGCCAGCTGTACGGCACGGCATCTTCACCGTTCACCACTCTCCCCGTGGGGGCATAAGAAGGTTGTCCACAGCCATAGACTGATGAGAGAGAGGAAGGCAGTTTGTGTTGGGGGGTCATTGATGGAAATTACCCAAATCCTCCTGCAGATTTCACTTTCCCTGCGATTGCCTGCAAGGCGGGGAAGGTAACCCACATGCCCTCCAACATTTCTCTGATGAAAATAGGGACATCCTATTCTATATCCCCCCCCCCATTTATAACCTGCCCATCTGACCTGGTTGCCCCAGCCACCCTGGGCGGCTCCCAACATATATATAAAAACATGATAAAACGTTAAACTTTTAAAAAAACACCCCAAAGGAAACCCCCTTCCCTATTGGGGGTCGGATAACTCCATATCCTCTGACATTTCTCCGGTGAAAATAAGGACAGGAAAAGGGGGACATTCCGGGATTGTGTCAGAAACCGGGACGGCTTCTGTAAATCCGGGACTGTCCCTGGAAAATAGGGACACTTGGAGGGTCTGAAGCCAGGGTGGCTCCAGATTAGGCCTCAAATACCCCGATGCTAAGGGACGCGGGTGGCGCTGTGGGTTAAACCACAGAGCCTAGGACTTGCCGATCAGAAGGTCAGCAGTTGAGCTCCCGTTGCTTGGTGCCTGCTCCACCTAGCAGTTCGAAAGCACGCCAAAGTGCAAGTAGATAAATAGGTACCGCTCTGGCAGGAAGGTAAACAGCGTTTCCGTGCACTGCTCTGGTTCGCCAGAAGCGGCTTAGTCATGCTGGCCACATGACCCGGAAGCTGTACGCCGGCTCCCTTGGCCAATAAAGCGAGATGAGCGCCGCAACCCCAGAGTCAGTCACAACTGGACCTAATGGTCAGGGGTCCCTTTACCCTTTACCTTACCCCGATGCTAGCTTTGCAACTGGCTCCAAACCCCTGGAATCAGGGCCAAAGCAGACGCGTTTCCCCGCATTTCTGCTCTCAAAGCAAACAGGGGAATCTGCATTATACTGCTACGTTATACCCTCAAGACCACAGTCCACCAAGCGGGGGAGGCCCAGTATGAAAAATGACTACAGGCATGGTGGTGGTCTCAGGTGAATTGAGGAGGTGGGCTTCTAGGTTGCATGCGGGGTGTGGACGTTACCCTCAGCTGCCAACAGGAATGGGACGAGGAACCTCCACATTGTGGCGCGAGCGACCGACTGTCTGGGAGAGTGAGAATGAGCGGCAGAGCCTTTAAATACCACCCACCCTGTCTCCAAGTGGGCTGGTTCCTAGCTATTGCAGGAGCCGCCAAGGGCACTGTTCAGCCTTGGACCTGCATGGCACCCGGTACATATCTCTTTTCCCAGCGCAGAGGGACATTAAGGTAGCAGGAGGAGGTCAGGGCAGCTGTCTGGAGTGGGGAAGGTTCCAGGTCCGTCCACCCCCAGCACCTCCAGGGACAGCTGCCAGTGGAAATTGTACAAAGATGCTGCCAGCCAGTGTGGGCAACACTGAAGCAGTTGGTCCAAGGGTCTGGCTTGGGATAAGGCTGGTTCCTATGTTTCTATTCAGATCAGATCTTTATTCAGATCTGAGCATGAGACTCTGAATCTCAGGGCTGTGGGTTCAAGTCCTGTTTTGGATGAAAGATTCCCGCATTCCCAGGACTTGATGATCCTTGTGGTCCCTTCGAACTCTTTGTTTGTTGTTATTGTTTAGTCGTTTAGTCGTGTCCGACTCTTCGTGACCCCCTGGACCAGAGCACGCCAGGCACTCCTGTCCTCCACTGCCTCCTGCAGTTTGGTCAAACTCATGCTGGTAGCTTCGAGAACACTGTCCCAACCATCTCGTCATCTGACGTCCCCTTCTCCTTGTGCCCCCCATCTTGCCCAACATCAGGGTCTTTTCCAGGGAGTCTTCTCTTCTCCTGAGGTGGCCAAAGTATTGGAGCCTCAGCTTCAGGATCTGTCCTTCCAGTGAGCACTCAGGGCTAATTTCCTTAAGAATGGCTACAATTCTATAATTCTACCTTATTTTTAGAAGGAAGCAGTATCTCCACAGCATATCCAGGAAGTTTTTCAAATGTCCCCATCCTGGGGAGCTGCTGCCAACCTGTGTAGACAGTATTAGGTTAAATGGACCCTGTCTCAGTACAGGGCATGCTTCTGTGTTCCTAGAATGATAGGAAAATCTTTCTCGAAGCGCCTCTCAGGGCTCAGTCCTGGACATCAGCTTCTGAAGATGTGAACTGTCCAGGAAAGATTGCCTCTGGATATAATAAGAGTGCCTTGCCTTTGCCTCTAGGCACAAGAAGACCCGCAGAGGCACACTGAGGCATTTCCTCTCAGCGGGTTTAATCAGAGACACCTTGGGTTTTAGAAATGAAACCCCAGCAGTCTGATTTTCATGGCCATTAATGGTAATATGCGGTGCTGCGATGCTGCTTTTTTTAAACTCGCCAGCTGAAGCATGAAAGGGGGGGGGGAGAAACTTCCCAGCTTTTGCAGAGATCACTAGTGAAACAGGCAACAGCTGTGAATTAAAATGGCATTTGTGAACCACAGGCTCCTCTTTGGTCTGGACTCCGGGTTATATATGAGCCACCCCAATCGCCAAGCACTCTCCAGGAGCTTTCCCAGAGTTCAGTTTCCTTGGGATGAAGGTTGGCAGAGATGATGGTGTCTTTAGGATACAGTGGTACCTTGGTTCTCAAACTTAATCCGTTCCAGAAGTCCGCTCCAAAACCAAAGCGTTCCAAAAGAAAGGCGTGCTTTCCCATAGAAAGGAATGCAAAACGGATTAATCCGTTCCAGATTTTTAAAAACAAACCCCAAAGCAGCCATTTAACATGATTTTTACTATCTAACGAGACCACTGATCCATAAAATGAAAGCAATAATCAACGTATTGTACTATAAAATAAATAAGACAGTATTGTAGATGATAAAAATGAATTTTCCCCCCCTTACCTGCGCTGATGATAGTCATTGTTTGGATGGGGGGCTTTTATCCATTTCCGCAGTCACACAATCAATCAATCCGTAGCTGAACTGCGTTCCACACAGTCACAAAAACAAATGATCCGAAAAAGCCTCAAAAACAAAAACAAAAAACCAACCGCAATATAAACAGCAAAAACAAAAGCGCCAAACTTAATCTGTTCCGGAAGTCCATTTGACTTCCGAAATGTTAAAAAACCAAGGCATGGCTTCTGATTGGTACAGGCGCCTCAGAAACAATAGCCGACAGCCGCATCAGACGTTCGGCTTGCGAAACGCGTTCAGAAACCGGAACACTTACTTCCAGGTTTTCGGTGTTTGGGAACCAAGGCATTTGGGAATCAAGGTACCACTGTATCCGGTTTGACTCACACATATGCACAACCTCAGCATGAGATGGAGGGCTCACGGCATTGACACTCCAACACATCTTGCATCTTCATTAATCACTGCTTTGGCTCCAGCACAGAGGAGGCAGGTATCTGGGTCTCTATCTTCCATCCTCAGCTCTCTGGCACTTGTTTTCCTAGCTAGCAGCTAGGAGAGTGGAGTCCATGGGCCTGGAGGGAACCATCCCTCGTAGCCTGGCTCATTCTTTGGAGATGTTGATGAGGACACTTAAATGGCCAACTAAGGCCATCACCTTACAAATAAACTTATCGGACCAGTTCAGTGATAGAATCCTCTCTTAGATACTAACCCTCGCTTTCTCGAAAGATTGGAAAAGACTCAGGGCACCATCCATACTGACCCCTCCCATAGACACCTTTCCTTGACATCTGATGGGAGGGCGTTCCACAGGGCGGGTGCCACTACCGAGAAGGCCCTCTGCCTGGTTCCCTGTAACCTCACTTCTCGCAGGGAGGGAAATGCCAGAAGGCCCTCGGAGCTGGACCTCAGCGTCCGGGCGGAACGATAGGGGTGTAGACGCTCCTTCAGGTATACTGGGCCGAGGCCATTTAGGGCTTTCAAGGTCAGCACCAACACTTTGAATTGTGCTCGGAAACATACTGGGAGCCAATGTAGGTCTTTCAGGACCGGTGTTATATGGTCTCGGCTGCTGCCCCAGTCACCAGTCTAGCTGCTGCATTCTGGATTAGTTGTAGTTTCCCGGTCACCTTCAAAGGTAGCCCCACGTAGAGTGCATTGCAGTAGTCCAAGCGGGAGATAACTAGACTAGAGCATGCACCACTCTGGTGAGACAGTTTGCGGGCAGGTAGGGTCTCATCCTGCGTACCAGATGGAGTTGGTAGACAGTTGCCCTGGACACAGAATTGACCTGCGCCTACATGGACAGCTATGAGTCCAAAATGACTCCCAGGCTGCGCACCTGGTCCTTCAGGGGCACAGTTACCCCATTCAGGACCAGGGAGTCCTTCACACCCGCCCGCCTCCTGTCCCCCCAAAACAGTACTTCCTGTCTTTTTTCCAGTACTAAAAACATTCTTCCTGTCTCTCCCCCCGCTTCACGTCCCCTCTTCTAAACTTGCATGGCCTGGGACCCATAGCAGGTGTCAAGGCCGCTGGGATGGCAGATCATTAACCAGCAGTTGATCTGGGAAGGTTACCCTGTAGCCAGCTGGGCAAGCAAAGAGGGGACGTGGGCATCTGCAGCTGGGTGGAGAGCCAGCTCTGTGAAATAGCAGTGGGCTTCACCAGTGGGTGAAGTCAAATGAGGACGCCGGGTATTAGGCAGGGTGGGGTAGCAGCTCCCTCAGCATTCCCTTCAAACTAGTCTGCTCTGCGCCTCCAAAGCTACAGACCTGCAACGGCAATTCCTTGCCCTCTGATGCAGCTGCCACACAAATGTCCGCCGCCTGAAATCCTGGGGCTCTGCTGCCGGCCAGTGTAGAAAATACTGAGCTAGATGGACCAAGGGTCTGACTCAGCCTTCCAGCCCCACATCTGGGGTGATGGGGGCAGCGACTTCGGATTCCACAAGGGGGAATAGGCTGCAATCTGTGAGCTCTTCTGGCCTTAACCCAGGATGAGTGATTATGTCAAATTTAGTTTCTCATTTCCCCAATCTTGAATTCAGTTGTCCACATCAGCCTATGTATCATATATCATCGTTATTATTTT